TCGTTTTACCGATTTAGCATCACTAAGCCGGGCTCCCTGTGTAACTAGTAGTTAGCGTGCTTTCGAGGCTTTCTAGGTTGTATATAACTTTTATCATAGATTTACATTTTATAGTAGTGGATATATTATTAATTCATTTTAAATATTGTATCGACATCTTGAGTATGTATTATGACTTATTCTATTTATTCTTGTTACGCGCATGTGATCATATTTACATGTTTCATGCGCGCTATAAATAATTATTAAAGATTATTATTGATTATTCAATTCGTATTGATTTTCCGAGATGCTGATCACAGCTTCAGCATKCAGCTTGCACTGATTTAGACAAATGACATAGTCTGCTCAACAAGTGTCAAATAAATAGTTTCCAGTCTGTTTATTTGTCAAAAGTTGAATACTCAACAAAAGCCATGCAAGGCCTAAAGCTGATTTGATACATATGCATGAAGCTGCTGAGATACGCCTGCAATCTCTCTTCGTTGTTATGTTAAGCTTTAACGCGCAGTCCTAGCTAATTTGTTGCAATAATCTACAGTGTCTATCATGCGCATTACATGCTTGTATTTTAAACATCAATTTTACAGAAATATTCAAGGAATAGAAAAGGGCGAGCGTGTTTTTGATTGGCGGATTGGAGAGTGAAGTGTTAGAAGAAACACGACGCGTACTGCATGTGGCACAGCATTATTTAAATCTAAAATTAAACATGCTCTTTAAAGCTAAGAGTTTAATTTTATTTTTCTATTTATTGCAGAAATAAGTAAAAGAGAAGCCATAGCAGGAGCTGAAGATGAGTGGCCGAAACCCGAATGACGACAGTAAAGAATTTAGAAATAAATTTGAGAAAATGGAAGCAAAGTTAAAAGAATACATGGTTGAAACCGATCAGTTGAAAAACAAAGTGGTAAGGCAGGAAAACGACTTGAACAGATACATGGCTAAAACTGATGAGCTTGAAAAATCTCGAAATAAGCTGTACATTGGTCAGTTGTGTGCGAATGTGATGGAAGCAATATATTGGGAAGTCTTGCCAGTTTACTTTAAGAAAGGAAATGATTACAAACAGCCACATCTCAGATATATTGATAAAGACATTGAACAGCTGTGTGAAACTAGAGACGATCAAAAAGAAGCTCAAGAAAGGTGGACGAAATTGCAAGCTGACAAGATTGATCCAGATGAAAAAAAGGTTAAGAAGTTAGTTGAATTCATGGAAAACAAGTTGAAAGAGAGGAACATAGAGGCCCATCCTTGTCCATTGAACGAAGAAGAATTACAGGATATTGCAAGTAATTTACCAGTTCAGGATCAGCCACTTTTTAAAAAGGCGATGCAATTACATTTTCACACACTTAGTTGCCATGGCATTGAGTGAAAGAAACAAACTTTCAGCTCTTATCTTGATACTGCAGTCAGGAGTCATGTATATGAATTTTATACTTGTTTTCTCTGACTTTTTTTAATGTTTGCGTATCACTCAATTGACGAATCGTTGTCGGGTTCAG